GTACAGTGCTTAGCATAATGGGATCCAGGTCTATGACTCAGACCGTTGGGCAGCAGTGCAATATAAATGATAAATTATAATAATAAATATATCCTCATGTGAGGTAATTTACTTAAAACGTCTCAAGGAAATGTTATCTCCCCCATCAGGGCACACACAAAAAATGTTCTTGATTTTCGTTTGTTGCTCCAAAATGGTGTAGCCCATCTCACTTTTGGAGACTGCTTTTTGAATGTTTATCATTTTATATGTATGGACATTTGCACTCACATTATATTTGTCTACATCTAGCTTCCTGAGACGTTGGCCATCTTTTCCGGAGTTTGTCCAGCAGATAGCACAATCAGCGCCTTGTCTGAGTGGGGCTGCTAAGTGCTACCATAATGCATCTAATGGATAACGCACAGACTTAGAAACTAGCAGTTCTGGCCAGTGACTGGTGCTTCTAGGCACACAACTGCAGCACAATAATGAAGACTAACAGTAAAATAAATAAAATTGCTCTGCAAAACTTAGAGTGAAGTTCACTCCTATACAGAGGCCCCCATGGCTATAGAGAGCTCAACTCTTTCATTGGCCATTGGAATGGGAATGGGAGTGAATTTCCGGCTGTATCGTAAAAGCAAAGAAGCGTTAATATGAAAATATGTTTCATTTTGGTAATTCACCTGTAAATGAAAGATTCATAGTCACATTCGGCCTTCCAACTCCATTGTACCACCAGAATGATTATTTTGGTTTCTGATCTAAACCAGTATAACTGAGGATAGAAATGTAGGGACTGGTGGATATAGGGGCAGGTGACCCAAGCAATCACCTGAGGCGCTGTGTTTGTGGTGCTATAAGGTATTCAGAAGTTTAACAAGAGAAGGAGGGGGGCGCTGGGGTGCCATTTGGTCTAGGGACAGCACAGGTAGAATGTGATCTAAAGCAATAGCTATGCAAAAGGGCAAGATTCTGGAGGAAGGGACAAAATCCACCCCCACGCGGCAATCTTGAGAAGTGCTGCACTTATGAACGGGGTTAGTGGCTGCTGTTCAGCTGTGCTTTCCCCAAGTGTCTTTGGAGGACACAATGACTCATTCCCTACCTGAGCGCCACTGTTCATATGTGCCTGCTCCAAGCAGAATGGGACTCAGGTGCCCAGCTCAACAGACGGAGGGGAGAGGGAGACTTTCTGTGAAGCTGACCTTCCATCCAGGGCTACCATGGGTCATGCAGCATTGCCAGGATTCGAGCAGGATGGCTGAGAGGCAGTGACTAGTGATTGTAACACTACCCCTTAATGAACTGCACTTGTATATCACTGAATTGGCTACCTGTCCAGCTGGAATTGTCCCTGGACCCTAGTTATTCTGATTAAATAGCTATCTGCCTAGATAACAGCAAGGAAATGGATCACCCAGCTTGTCACCCCCAGGTCATTGGTTTGAATCCAGCCTGCTCTGAACCCAGCCAGGGCTGTCTAGTGGCTCTTCAATGCTTAATGTAACAGTTAGTTGGTGGGCTCAGTCCAGGTCTTAGCAAACAGATGCACACACCACAAATTCACTGTCACGACTGGCACAACTAGCCAGCCTCGTTGACCAGCCTAGCATAATTGCCAAAGGTATGAGCTGTGCTATGGATTCTGAATTGTCTTCCCATTTGTACCCACTTCATACTCAGAGTAAAGCACCCTGGCAGGACAGCATGGGGGAAGTGTGCATTGCAGCTTGTGGTGCCATACTTAGCATCTGGATAAATGAGGCCATTCTCCAGACTGATGATTCTGGCACCTTAGTTAACCCTAAACATTGGAGGGGAAAAAATGCACAGTCCTGCACCGTGTGCTGATCGGCATGAGGAGAGCTGGAGGCAGGTTTTCCGAGGTGCTCAGCTCGCATTGAGGCACCAAGATCAGAGACAAATTTATTTGACTAAAAACATTTCTAAGGCTTTTAAAACTGTAAGTTTTCCATTGGAAATTTTGAAGGAAAAATAGATATTTTCTGACTCTTTCAGGAACAACAATCAGCATTTTTTGACCAGCTCTAGTGCTGAATACTTGATAATGGGCCTTTTAAAACCTGACCCTTAAAAATAAATAATTTGAGAATCAAGCCCCAGTTCTTCTTTCTAGCCTGCTCTTTCTCTGATCTGTCTTGGCACTCAAGTTGTGGCCCAGGAATTGAGATGCTGCAGAAAAGGGCTCAGTTGAGCACATGATCTACTCTTCACAGGCTTTGATGGAGTTAAGCATATTGGGGTGCATCTACACAGCCGGGCTTAACTCGAAATAAGCTATGCAAATTGAGCGACGTTGATTGTGTAGCTTATTTCAAAATAGCTTATTTTGAAATTGGGAGTGTCTACTCAGCACTTATTTTGAAACACCTCTCTTCCTCCAACTTCCCTTACTTCTCGTACAATGAGGGTTACAGGAGTCAGAGTAAGGAGTCCTCCAGCTTGACAGTATTTTGACATAATCTGTGGGATTCTATAGCAGTTTATTATCTTCATATTGAATTACAATAATATTTAGCTTTTATATAGTGTTTTCATGAGCAGATCTCAAAATGCTTCATAATCTTTTATGTATTTAGCCTACTTTCACGAGGAACTGCCATTTTACAGATTGAGAACTGAGGCACAGAAAGGTTAAGTGACTTGCCCAGGGTTACACAGGAAGTTTATGGAAGGACAAGGAATAGAAGTAGGTCTCCAAAGTCCTGGGTTTGTGCCATAACCACACGATCAAAATCTCATTGACTTGTCAAGGGATGGAGGCAGGGCTCTTCCCCCTCACTGCCCAGGATGAAGTCTCCTGTGCAGGGATCTAGAACGAGGCTTTTTCACTACTTAAGCCCTGTTTTTTAGGGCTTAAGTGCCTCATTGGCCAGCTCCTGGCCCCCAGCACTTGGGTTAATTCTCACCCACTCCTACAAATTAACCCTTTTATGGACATCATATCACAGGGGTGTATTTGCCAAGGCTGTGTTCAGTGAGATGCTGCTGTTGTAATTATATGCCACCATACCCATTGCCTAAAATAAAGTAAAGATGGTTAATATCCTAGGAGAAATCAGCCAGGAAAGGAGTGTGAAACGGCTTCCTCTGTGGCTTGTAAAATGGGCTGTTACAACATTATAAAAGTGTTTAGTAAATTTTTGTCTTGATTTAAAAATTGACATGGCTGGCATTCCCCAAATGCCAGCACTCCCATTTTCCACTTGGAAACGTAAATGACCATACATTAACGCAATAACCTAATGTTGCCAGGCTGAAACATTTCCTTCTTTAATAACATTAGGGCTAAAGACAAGTGACTTCTTAGCCTGTTGAATTGTTCCAAGGATGAAACAAATTGTAGGTCTTTAAATTTATTAACAGTTGCCAGGTTTGAATTATTTTTATAGAGCTTGAGGCCCAATTAACTAACTCAAGGATGATCTTCAATATAAATGATAACCTCTAACACAATTACTGTGCATGGGAAGAATGGAAAGTGGGTAAATGGCATATTATGTCTCAGCGTAATTTTTGAATTTAAAGGGTGAAATTTAATTTAAAAGAGGGAGGAGGGGTGTTTCATTAGCAAAAATTGTTTTTTCTTAATACTTTTTCAAATGGAATGTGGGTTTTCCCTTCTCTTTCAACAAAATAAATTAGACTGATAAAAACAGGCAGCTTCCGGAATAGTTGGTAACCAAACTAAGATTTATCATCTTTTGGTCATTAAGGGGTCAGATCCTCAGCTGGTATAAATTGGGACAGCTCCTTTGAAACAAAATGGCACATCAGTAATTTACACCATCTGAGCGTCCGGCCTTAAAACCACAGTGCTTTTATCATTCAGATTCATCTGCCGTCATTAGCTCAGTGTTGCATCTAGAACTGCTTCCCATTCGTTTGAAGAGGTGGGTTGTGCTCACAAAAGCTCATGATGCCATGTTTTGTTAGTCTCTAAGGGTATGTCTACACTACCCCGCTAGTTCGAACTAGCGGGGTAATGTAGGCATACCGCACTTGCAAATGAAGCCCGGGATTTGATTTGATTTTAAAACCCCGCTGGTTCGAACCCGGTGCAGCGCGGCTACACGGGACTCGAACTAGGTAGTTCGGACTAGGATTCCTATTCCGAACTACCGGTACACCTCGTGGAAGAGAGGGGTTTTAAAAATGGCGGCTCCCCGCTTATGCAAATGAAGCCCGGGAAATTCAAATCCCGGGCTTCATTTGCAAGTGCGGTATGCCTACATTACCCTCCTAGTTCAAACTAGGAGGGTAGTGTAGACATACCCTAAGGTGCTGCAGGATTGTTTGTTGTTTTTTAAGTTTTTCCAGTTAGGCTATGTCTACACTACTTTTTTTTTCAGAAGGGCAATGCAAATGAAGCACTGATTAGCATTTTTGCGGGCTTCATTTGCATAATCTCTTCCAATCTGTTTTTTGCACAAGATGTTTTTTTGAAAAAACAGGCAGCATGGAGGCATAAGGATCTTGCATAAAAAGGGTGTTTTGCGCAAAAAAGGAAATGTCCACACTGCATGTTTTTGCGCAAGCA